GATAAAAGGTTTAACGAAAATATTTTATGAACCATGCATACCAATATAGATACATTTTCTCACGCTTAAAATATAACATCATGCTTATTGCTTCATCGATGGTCAATATATCATGCATCAACATTTATCATAAGTAAATTAATCATTTAATTAATCATGCAAATAAATCGGTTCATATACGTTCATATAAACATATATTAACATTTAATAATTTTATTTAAGCATATAAAATTAAGCATGCAACCATTTAATTAAAACTTCGTTGATTTAATCTAAAAATACTCCTTAGTATGTTGAAAGTAAATATTAAATTTCTTACCGAAACCTTGGTATTTCCTACGTCTTTCCTCTCCTTTTCTCTCTAGATCTCTCTCTCTCTAAAATTCTTTGGTGGATGGAAGAATGACATGGAAGTGGTGAACAAATAGTGAAGAAGAGGTCACTATTTATAGAAAATGGGGACCGTTAGATTTGCACCAAGTGACAAAATCTTGTGAGAAGAGAGAAAGTCAAAGTGAATTGATGTGATGTGGCGATCGATAGATGAGACTGATGGACGGACGACGTGACAGCAATGCAAAACTTAGAGGCATGCCATCTAACCAACGGTGGCTCACCATCAAGCCAACGACACACGCACCCAAAGGCAGCACAGCCTGCCGCGCAGACAGCATGCGCACAGGGCGTGTGGAGCTGCGCACCCGTCTATTCACAATGGTGCACATGCGCAAACTACGCCTTGTACCCCGCACGAATGGAGGTGCACACATGCGCACGTCCTGTGCTCGCCTCGCGCATGGCATTCGGGGCCCATGCAGGCAAGGTCTTTCCTGTGAGCGTTTCTCGGGGGATTTTTTCACCGTTTCTCCTCTGTTTTTCCTGAAATCTTTTTAAATAAATTTTAAAAAATAAATTCTCAACAAAGCCAATAAACAAAATTTAATAATTATTTAAACTAAATAAATATGACACTCAAATATTAAATTTATTCAGAAATTAAAGTACAAAATTTTAAAGAGTTTAAATAGCCTTAGGGCCCGAATAAATAGAAGTTCACAATATAAATTAACCGCGAAGGTTTTCGGGGTGTTACAAGACCAGTGAAGAGAAAAAGAATAATTGAAAGAAAGAATTAGTTATTCATTAAAGTTTCATTTATTGAACGACCATAATTAAATGTGGATATATGGCTTAGAGACGTAGAAAAGAAAAATCATTTATTTGCATCACATCACTTCTTGATTAATATTTAGGTCTAAATTCTATAATGGAGCCCTTAATGAAATTTGTTAATTTATTCTTGAGTCAATGTTTTCAATTTTTATTGGCTCTAGGCTCTTCATTTTGTCATAGTTCTATGAACAAATTTATATAATACGAATGCATTCCTTAAGAAGTGCATATTTTACTCGAAGCTTCTTCCATAATAGTACACAACAATAGTATCATTGGAGTTGATACATGAATCACTTTAAATATAAGAAGCCAAGTAAGCAAATTGGTCCGAGTGAAATGAAAAAAAAAATATTGAAGTTAAAATATTTTTTGCAGACATTCATTTTTTAGGAAAAACAAATAAGATATCCCAGCACAAAGACATCTTGATATTGTCAAGAAGGGAGAAAACAAACTCTAAGGAATAAAATAAATTTGAAAAATTAGATTTATGTCCAGTGGATCACACCTACAAAGAAAAAAGATTTTTCTTTGTTGCAATCCATAGCCACATATGAAATAGCACACTATAAATTTAGCAACACTTTTCCCACAATATGTATTTCAAGAAATGGGTTATATTTTTCTAAAATCTTGACTTTTCAAAAATTTATAATTCATTCAATTTCCGTTCAAATAAACGATCTAAGTATTTATGACAAACTTATAAGTATAGATTTTTCAATAAAATTATTTGGTGACAAAAGTTAAGTAGAAAAATTGAGAACGATGTTGAAACTTTTTGCTGCATGATTCAGGTTCTTTTATATGTTTCAATTTTAAAAAGTAACTTAATTCTAATCTATATAATGCAATCATGGTGTTTATGAAAAGTTAAGAAAAGTAAATATTGTAGATAAAATATTTTATGGCTAGAATTTAACAAAAATTTTAAAGAAAAATTACGAAGAACCTACTGCTCAATATAAACTATTTTATGGTCTATTTTCTTTGCCTTTTCTTTAGCTATTGTCATATCCTACTTTTTTTCAAAAGTTTTAATTAATCAAAATTTAAAAAATATTAAATTTTAATTCAATTTTATTATATTTTATTAATTAAAAATAAAAATAAAAAATGTAAAAAGCAAAAAAAATAAATAAAATGAAAATTGTTTAAGTAGTTATATTGTAAATATTTATATGTATATATGTATATATTTTAAAGCTTCGACAAAAATTTTCAAAACTTTTTGAGAAAGTTTTTAAAATATATATATATATGCACAAATGTAATTACAATGTATAATTAGATATGCATACATGAGAATAAGTAAATATAAGTCTATGTTTAATTTTATTCGAAACCCAAATTAGTCTAAGTTATTAAAAAAAGAAAAAGTCAATTAGCCAAATCCAAAAGAAACAGCCTCCTCCATTCTTCTTCATTTTGTTTTACTTTATTTTGGGCCCAGTTTTAAACTCAGAAGCATTAAAAAAAATTTTCATACAAACTAAAAGTGGGCCCCACTTTCTTTTTCTCCTTTTTTAACTCTCTCTTCCTCCTCTTCTTGCATGGGCCCAACTTCTTATTTTTCCTCGGACCAGCTTGAAAAACCCAGCCCAAGGCCCTCTTTCCCTAAAAACAGCGTCGTTTTGTGGGAATCAATTGAAACTCGCCAAAACACCACCGTTTTGGGGAAGGCATGTTTAACCCTCCATCTTCTTTTTTCTTCGACAACAGAAAGATGGAGGGTTAATCTTTTTCTCTTCTCTTCCATTTTCAGGAAGGTAGAGAGAGAGTTCAAGTTTTGAAAAAAAAATGATAAGTAGGTGGACAGCGCATGCAGAAGGCGTGAACGAAACGCAACGAAGGAATGAGCAGTATAACGAGAAAGGAAACTGTAAACGAAGAGATTGTGAAGCAGAGAAAGAGAAATTAAAAGAAAATCAAAGGAGGGGCTCCTGAGCAAAGCAAGGATGAAATTTTGAGGAGAGGCACGGGATTTCTTCCGTGATGAAAACGAAGTGAGAAGAGCAGCGTGATGAAGAAGAGAGGATTACTAAAAAAAGAAAGAAAAGGGAGAGAAGAAGATCGAACCTGGAAGGAAGGGACAGTTTTCTGGTGAATTGCTTCATCTCTGGTAATCATTTTCTTTTCCTTTTTTGCTATAGTGTCTCGAACATTTGTCTGTAAATTGAGACATTGTTGGCCTGTTTCATGTCGAAACGAAAATCTACAGAAACTCCGAATACCGAACCCTAAGATTGTTTTGAATTTGAAATTTCGTTTTGTTATCATGCTTTTTGAGTTATTATACTCATACCCAATTTGGTTAAATAAAGGATGCAATTTAAAGAAAATTTAGTTGTTAGGTATATGTCGTAGTAAAGCATATGTTCCTAATCATAGTTGATTAATTAAATGCATAGTAATTAATTCTTTTTATGTTGATGGATTAGATGATTAATCATGATTTTGATATTAACATAATAATTATTCACCAACTTCAAACATTTTTCTCATAATTGGGAGTCACCAAGATATGCATATTAACCAAATTAAAATAATGTATTATTTCACTCAGAATTTATTATGAAAATAAGTTGTATTTGATACCGCTTTCAATAAGATTAATGATAATTCTTTTATTTTTTATTTTTAGCATAGTTACCATTGTGACAATTATCTCTTCATGAAATGCTAATGAATTTTGATTCAATTTTAGAAGACTTATTTTTATTGTTGCGAACCAAACTCCTTTCTTGATTTTATTTTTTCTCTTCTCTTTTCTTAAGTTTTAGAGTTTTTATCTTAACATTAACAATTAAAACATTTATATATATATATATATTTCCATAATTACAAAAAGGTCTAATAATTTATACTAAATCATAAAATAGTTTATGGATTTTATTAAATACAAATACAATTTTATTAAATTTATAATTAAAATAACAGTTTATGTTCATTGTGCCCAGGTTCGGGGGAAAAAAAAAAAAAAAAAAACAGAAACAAAAAGTATAACAAATCCAAATCCAAATCTTATGTGAACATTCCAATTCTAATATCAAATCATGCTAGGGGTTAAATTATGATTAAAATATTGTTAAGAGTGTTAATAATTTAATCATAATTTTTCAATTGATACTTAAAACTGTGAATCAAACATTTAATTTTTTAAATTCAAAAATCATTAATCTGAGTAGAATCCTAAAATTCCAACCATAGTTTATGAATCAAAATAGACTGTATATATTTCATATAAAATTTTTACAAGAATGTAAGTAATAAAGTACTTTAAAAAATATTTTGAAAACATTATAAACAACTAAAAAATGACTTACTTTGAAGGAAAATAATACAAATATCTACAATAATTCTCAACCAAACATAATTTATGTTCCAAAATAACAATAGATAATGGACTATTTCAAATCTCTTTACATGAGTGAAATTCATGAATCAAATATCCCATACCTAAAAGCGAAATTGGAAAGATTAGCAAGGAAACAGAATTAAATCATCAATTTCTCATTCTAAATGACAAAATAAAATGGATCTTCAAATATAAATTATTTCTCTCAAACAATGCCGAGGATTTGATACCTTCACCATGTGAATTTTCTTTTTTTAGCATCCGATTTGAACTGTACAAATACAATGCAATTTCTTTGAGAAACAAAAGGAAAACAACAGACAAATTTTTAAGGGAGCTCACCCATGTTTGAAGAATGCAGACGAGCTGTCATCAACTGAATCACCAGAAAACTGTAGTAGACTTCATAACTGCCACCATTTTCGATTTTCCATTGCCTTGGCAAGTTCTTTTGCCAATGACTCGAAGTTTTCAGCGCCACTCTGCAGCTCTTCAGTGCGTTTGCTTATCCTCTGGAAAAGTTACAAGAAAAGAATATAGTTTATGGGAAATCAGGATATGCTACTGACATATTTCAAATTTACAGGCACAACTGAGATGATTGTTAGAGAATTGATAACATGGTAATATCACCATGATGAAATTCTTTCAAATTCATAAACATTCAGCTGTAGTTGAACTCAGAGATAAACATCAAGTAACTTTTTTAATAGTACCTCCAGTTTTTCCCGTCTCTCCTCAAGTTTGTGCCTGGCATGTTCAGCTGCTGAAGAGGCATCCTGAAATCAATATGAACATTATAGTGACCTTAAGCAGGTGTAATTGGAAAAAACAAGGGTTAGATAATAAGATCATTGCAAAAATCACCCCAGATTTTCTATATTTAGCAATGATTTCTTCAGCTGTCCTCACTCTGGGTTCTGGATGATCTGACACCCCTAATAATTTCTCTTTATCTCCTCGCTTTCCTGCAGTCCAGAAGATTTAAAGAACAAATCCCGGAAAAGTGTAAACACAACTGAACAATATGGGAAGTCAGATTACCCTTCATTTTACTCCTCTTCCTTTGCTCACTTTCATGTGAAGAAATCACCGTGGGTGGAGTTTCATCTATTTCAATGTCATCTTTAACAAAAAAAAAAACCCCACTCTTAGAGGATCCAGACAATATAAAGAACAGTGAGATAAAAACAGACGAACCTATATTAAGCTCCAAGATTTCCTGATTATCTGTAATAATGGGAGAAATGGCTGAAAATGGACATTTCAAAAATATACTCTCCAAATGACTGAATTTGGATTCAGAAATTGCAGTTATATCCACTTTTTCTCCTTTAAATCCTTTGACAATACCACCAAGAATCCCAGGTGCAACACCCTGTGGTAATAATTTAATGTGTTGCATAAGTGATACCGTAATTCTTCATAAACTAAAAATCCTTTTGACAAGCAGCATAGTTGCTTAAATAATTCTTTATGAATTTCTTAAAATCTTATGAAAAGATGAGATCTATCTATCTCTTTGAGCAATGTTCCGATAGACAATTCATTGAACCTGATTCCTCTTGTGGTTTGGAAAGAAACTTGTGTCACCATCAGCAGCAGCTTCGAGAACCTTGTCATGGAGACAAGGCAAAAAATCGGGAATCCTAGAAACAACAGTATATTTCTTTTAGAAACTGCTGTGAACTATGGTTTCTTCATGCTTGACTCAATATTTCCAGGAAGCACTGGCTAAGTAAATAATGATCATACCTGAAATCGTTCTCCCCAACTAACAGAGATATGAATGCTACTTCACTTCCATTTGCCTATTAAATCCTCAAGTCAGGAGTATATCAAAAAGGCTAAAATTACCATTTTATTAATAGGATTTTAGACTATGTTACAAATTTGTTCAAATGTTTTTAGACCCCAAAGTTGAGATATTCATTTACTTCATGCAAAAAATTTAGTTTTGAAAAATTAGCCTCATAAACTTAAAGTGACCTGATTGAAACATTTATTGAGAAACCACTTGAAACAAGAAAAAGAAAATACTAGGTACTAATTTGTAATAAGAGATATATTTTTGGGACTACAAGCAGTTAGCCTTATTGAAGATGAAAGGAGTCGAGTGCTACACAAGAATGATTACGGGGAAGATTTTTGTTTCTTTTTTAGCTTTTTGATCTTATAATGAAATCATATTTCCTCAAAGGAACAAAAAGGATAATTTCAATTTTTTTGTTTTGAATTTTTCGAGCATAAAAGAGAGCATACCAGTGTAATATGCCCATGATCAGAAGAGCTCATTGTCTTATCCATGTTTACCTTGAAATTCCAGTTTAGAATTGACATCAAAGATGTTTCTTTCACCAATTCTAAATCTGGCAAGGATCTGTGCAGGAAATATAAGCAACAATACCAGTTATTCAACCTTCACTGAGAACTAATCTGATTAAAGTCAAGTGCAGTCATAATCAGAAGCCCCCAGGTTACCTGATCTCAATAATTCCAGTCTGAAAGAACAAGACCAGTCCACAAACTTCTCCATCTTTCTTGAAAGTTGTGGTCCAGCAGCATGGTTTTGTATGCTTTACTTTATGAATGGTTTTATTGTTCCCCTAATTGAATCATACAAACTTAGCACATAAAACATAGGATTCTAGATTAGAAAAGTGATAACGATGAGGGAGTCCGGGTAATCATATATTTAATTGACTCCATAAATAGTGGAGATTTGGTTATTTAATAATCAGATCCTCCAAGATATCCTCCCAAACTCTATCCTTATCCATAATAGTGGGGATTATGGATAGAAAGTTAGGGTTTCTTAGTGTAATCCCACTCCCAATATATCACTGTATTTTTTCTTCATCTTAATATACAACAATAATTCTGAGAAATAACCTCAGGAAACTACATGGCAGTAAAACAAATTATCTCAGAAAATTGCCGTCTCTGAAACCTGAACCAGATTCCATGACCAAGTAAGGCATGAACACTTCATTGTTCGAGGTAACCTCTAATCCTGAAGGAGTTACGATCAAGAATACTCATAGCAGACTAGAAGGACAATCTATTCTTATCACAAGCCACAAAATTAACAGCCACTGCCTTTAATGGTCTAAACCCATAATAATGTACATCTGCGGAAAAGGTAAAGATGAGTATCTTATAGGTTAAGTAACATGTCCAGATAAAAATATCCAAACTTTAGAGTCTGGAAAACCAAGAATCACATGATCGTGTCATGCCTAATCAACTCAATAAACAATGAGATAGGAGAAAACTTTTTCCTATTTGGGACAGCAAAGGAAATATGGGATGCTGCTGCCAAAGAAACTTACTCAAGTTTGAAAACACTTCAGAAATACTTGAAACGAAAGTCAAACTACATCAATCAAGGCAACCTCATTGTTACTCAATACCTTAACACTCTAACCCAGTACTCGAAACAATTGGACATATTCTAGACCCAGGCTGGGAAGTGTTTTAAATACACATCTGTACAAGAAGATAGTAGAGCAAAAGAGGATCTTTAAGTTCTTACTTGGTCTCAACAAGAACTTAGATGACGTGAGAGGAAGAGTGATGGGAACCAAACCTCTCCCAAGTCTTAGAGAAATATTCTCCAAAGTTCGCCAAGAAGAAAGCAAAGAAAAAAAAGATAATGATGGGAAATCAAGATCCTACACTGGTGTCAGAGGAATCAACCTTCGTGACCCAGGGATCCCACCCAAATCACCCCCAATGAAAACCAAAAGAAGGAAAATCATTTTTGGTATGATCACTGTAGAAAACCAGGATACTTGAGAGAAAACTACTAAAGAGTTCATGACAAACCCACTGATTGAAAGCATACATGCAACAATAAATACATCGAGGCCTATATTAGAAGTTTAGAAACTCCTTAGCTATAACAGCCTCCATCGGTCTCTTGCTCCCTCTCTTAAAACTAGATCAGTAGCCAAAAAGTAACAATTCCACTTACT